ATAGTCAGATATTACCCCTAGATATTACCCGTAGTAACAATAATTTTGATTAGCAACAGTAGCAACAGACAAAGCAAAAGAAAAAGACCTTTCAACCTTGAAATAAGAGGAATAAAAAATTTAGCGAATGAAATGGATGGGAAATTTTGAAAACACATAGAAAATAAAGGTAAAAAAAGAAAAGAAAAGGGAAAAACCCATCATATTTAAGTTTAATTTGTTCGGCAACCGTACGACTTGAAAAAACAGAAAAATGATCAAGTTACAGTCAGGCAAACGGATATCGCCTTTCTTGGGAAATTAAAATCAAAAATGCAATCCACAAAATCATTTGCAAAGGCATGTTACTACACCTGATCACAAAAAAAATTGATTGATTTCAGCACATCATAGGAAAAAGTGGAAAAACGAAATAGGAAAAGCAAGCCAATACGTTACGAAAAATATCTTTTCCGTACATAAGAATTTGACAAAACTACCGCTCGGTTTGCTAACCACAAAAGCGAGTTATTAGTTTCCCTTATAAATTAATTCCTACGTTTTGATGAAGAAAAATGATTATACAAACCCATGTCCTGTCGGTGATATGAAGTAAAGACAAGCATGGATACGTGTATCATCGTAATAGTCCAAACAACGTTTGATTTTTAACTCTTCCTTCAAATACTTTTCGAATTGCTCATTGATGAAATCAACGATTACCTGAGCACTAAAATAAAACATTTGTTTACAAATTTTTTTTTAATATGGAATAAGCAACCAAATATGATTATCAGATATCAGCGTAGGAATTAGACTGTTTTTAACAGGTAAACCAAGGTTGAGTCCCAGTATCTTATTGCTTGCCTTAAAGTCTCTTGATATCATTACGATGCTTGAAGTATTGGTACTTTATTGCCAAAAAGGAAAGTAAAAACAGTAGAACAAAAGGTATATCTATATTCTTAATTCTTATTTACGACCTTTCTTATTTCAAGAATACCTGCAGTATTTGCTCTTTTCCGAGAGAGAGTTTGATAACTACAGCTATATCTCAGAAAAGAGCAAATATTGTAAGTAAAATCATAAGTTAATAATATTAACTGTTATCACTCGCTATAAATTTAGGAATCACAAACAAATACTTGCTATGTTTCTACAAATTAATGCGTTAAAAATGTGAATGTTATTATTTCGTATATTATTAACCTTTTGTCTTTATCAAGTTGGTCACCAAATCCAGCTGTTTCAACAATAGTCAATTTCAGTCGAATTCCACCTTCCACAACATCTGAATACAAATACTATTAAAAATGGAAAAGTTTATGAAGAGGATGATGCTGTAGAATAGCAATTGCAACGCATTTACCATATGTCCTTGAAAGTAATTCCACAGTTTTAAGCTCGTTATTGCAGGGGCGAAATTCAAGCTTCATGTTAAATAGAGATTCGATCAGTGTTGTTTTACCCATGCCTGTTTCACCAACGCACATCAAATTGAACTGAAACCTAAAAATTCTCTGTATAAATTGATCAAGGAAAGAAAAGTGAATCAACCACTGAAGAGCTACAAAGAAACTCTAATTTTATGTAGCTTTCCGCCCGATTCAAGCAATACGTGAAAATTTTAAAGACTTTTTTTTAAAGGCTGTAACAATCAAAGTGAAAATTCAAATTGAATCTGTTTTTATAATTACCCTCTTTCAGTGCATTTCCGAACCAATTGATGTGGAAGCGAATCAAATCCAACATGCCCGTTCAATTTCAGTGTTCGAAATTCATCTGTGATACTTCCAGGTATATTAAGCTTTTCTTAAAAACATCACAAATTGTCATTAAAACAGCTGAATTATAAAAGCTTTTGTCATTTCTGAAATAATCCCAGATCTACCGAGATTGAAACAAAGCTTCAATCCCGGTAGTCCTATTTTTTTAACCTGTTTTACTACTCTCGTAAAACAATTCTTTTAATCAATAAGGAAACCAGTTGATGAGAATGAACATTCTTTTATATGGTAATAATTTTCTTTTTTTCAACGGAAGGAACATATGCCTTATTTCTTTGTCAGTAATAGTTTGGTATAACAGACCGTAATGCTCACGGATCTTATCAGTGAATGACGTATCCTCTACGATTATACTCTTCTTATGATTAGGAGAGATACAGCAAAGATGTTGCAGGAAGCAATTAGATGGGAAACGAGAAACCGTGCCTGTTGAGATGAACTTTTTATCCATTGCTTCGTGCTTGCTAGAATCTTGAGTTGAACCTGAAGCTGAAGTTACAGTTGTTAGTGTCCTCTTATGAACGCCATTGGAAAAATTTGATGATGTCGCTGTAGATCCACTGTTACCATTTAACAACTTAAGCTGGGAAGTTTTCAGATGCGTTGGAATCGGTGGTAGCGGTGGTGCTGGTGGAGCCTAAAATCATTTCATAAATGGTATTTTCAATCACAGAATATCAAATTTTCCAGCAACCAAAAACAAAAACATTCTTGCACCGAGCGTGATCTTTTAGTTTCGTTTACTAACAACTAAATGTAATCTTTTACTTAGCTTATTTGTCATTTTGTAGAAAGACAGCATCAAAGTAAATTTCTTCATTTCTAAATTATTTTCAAATGACTAACTGCGATTGGCTTTTTAGATTCCATCATATCGTTTGCTCTTGATAAAAAAACCTTTTGAAATTGTTTCGGTGCAACAGGCAAAACGTCAGTTTGCACTTCACCCTTAAGAGCTTCTGATTCAAGCGATACTTGGCTGCTAATAATATCTTCTCTCGCTTGTAATATTGCCAAATTTCCGGGAGATAATCCTGTAAAATTTACAAATAAATAAATTCAAATTGATAAATTAAAAAAAATACGAGATAGAAAAAGAAAAACACATAGGAAGAAACTTCCGGTGATGCAATAACTTCGATAGTAATGAATATTTGAATAAAATCAAATCAAATAATTGGCGGCATAACGGAGGTCTTACAGCGAAAATGTTATCGCATTGAAAAAGAAAATCAATGTTATCAATGATGACCGCTAACCGATAATTTAATTCAGCTCTATCTGTTTGAATAAGTTAACAGTCTGTGAATTAATTTTAATTTATCAAATATTTTTCAAGTTCAATTGCTTAAAAACTGGTTATGCAAAATTGGACTTTAGACTGTTTTTCTTTTTTTTTGAAAAAGTTTTGAACTGTTTGATTTTCGAAAGCTATCGCAACTTCCTTTTTATTCCTTTCTATGAATTTTTCTTCTATGAAAAAGTGTCTATTTCTTTTTTTTTCCTTTTCACAAATAATGTAACTGTATAAATGAAGTTAAAAAATTTAATATAAATGAATTTTTTAAATGAAATCTATACTGCATTTTTCACACTGTAAAAAGAAATTAGAAGAATCGATTCGGATAAATTTATAAAATTTCTCAACGGGATTTTATAGTCATCGTGAAGATTCGGAAAGCGATGAAATATGAATTATAAATTTACTCCACAAATTTCATTATCTGATGGAGACAATAAAATTTGAAGGATTACATTATGAGCTGAATCTACAAATTTTATTGCCCTTAGTTACGGAATCATAATTTAAAACTAATCTGCGAGTATTATCATGACAAGCAAATTCCATGTTAACTAAAACGAGTTTTGCTAGCAAGAATTAGTGAAGCTCTTCAAGAATAGCCAAATGATAATCAAAAATTTTGCAACCAATAAAAATATCCATGGATAATTGACGTAGAGACTTATTTTTTCTTCATTCTGATTAATAAAATTTCAATTCGAAAGCAAATAATATGAAGCATAAATCTGGCCTTGTGCAGTATATGGTCTCGATGAAAGATGCCTCTGCTGATATCCAGCAATGATACTACGAACTGATGTCCGCTCCAGATTGTTACTACAACCAGTTTCACCGTCAATTTGGTTATTCTGTAATACATGTAAGACAATTAACGACAACTGATATATAAAACCACTACAACTTGCAATGTTGCTTGACATATTTTAAATTCTATTTTACAATTTATTTTACAATAAGAGACTATCAGCGAACTTTGTAATTTTCGTTGATTTAGAATGACCAAGCAACGTTACTTTTTATAATCTCAGAAGTGATGGAAAAATTCTATCATTCAATATTTTTGGATTATTTTTCCCATATAAATACGATCACGAGCATAGACTGGAATAATATGCATAAAATTTCTCAAAAACTTTCCGATACTGTAACTCAAAACGAGAGAAAAATGACTGTCTACATGAATAATTTAATGAAATTACCGAACGCAATTGAACATTTAAGCAAAATCTTGAAATTTTCTTCTCATAAAAAGGTTAAAGATTGCAGTTCAAATTTTAAGACTGACCATATAATTTTTATATTTTCAAGAATATTATTACAGAGAAAAAAGAACGATTTTTTTTTTTTTGGAAAAATGACAGATGTTTAAATGAAGGTTGATGGATCTCATTTAAAATCTTTAATTGGACGTCTCTTATCTTTCCAAAGAGCAATCATTTTCTTTCTTGGTGATATTTCTTTGTTGGTGACAATATTTTCTAAAATATGAACAATAATATGATCAATGATAATATGATCTAATATGACCTATGATATGATATGATCTATGATAATATGATCTTTTAGATCAGATCCAAAATTCCAGGAGAATGAAAGCTACAGTTATCCTACTCATATCATTTAAATCCACCTCCGAATTCAGAATGAATTCAGGTTTATCTAACGCTTATTTTTTTGCTTTTTACTTCCGGTAAAGAAAGCTTTCTAATGATCTTGGAACGCCAAATATGATTTGGCTACTCACTTATCATTAATAAAAGCTTATCATAAAAGTTAGCTCTTTTATTTCTATCGCGAAACTCCGATCAACTACTGATGCATGAAAAGAAATCCGTAATGTTTTTTTTTTCCTCCTCAATAAAAATACCTTTTCTAAAATCCTTCTATCACGATCAATTACTTCCGGTTCTCTCGTAGTAGCAGTGCAGTTTGTCGTTTTTGATTTCTTATTAAGGATTAACTGAAAATAAAATAAAAGATGATTTTGATGAGTTGAAATTTGATGCAAAAAAGTCAAAACCTTAAAAGGATATGCTATTATGAATGTTACAAATAACGCCGGGTTGAATGTGAACTAAAGTTCAGTTCGGATATCGACTGATAGTAATAAAAATAAACTTTTTCCATAGCATGACTACAGTGAAGTTCAAAAAGATAATGAAAATGATTTTCTTACGAAACATCGCTTTAAAATTTTTTTTAATCTTATGAAGATGTCATTGTTTCGTACTTTCTTAAAATATCATTACAGGAAGTCTTAGAATAATATTATCGGTGGTTTCTCCTCAGTGAAATTATTTGAATGTTTCCAATTCTTGATCATAAAATTTAAATAAGATTTTATCTTTCGTTCAGTTTTTCTTTCTCTCCTACTTAATTAATTGTCAAAGTAGAGCTAAAAACACCACAGTGTGATTAAAATAAAAATGGGATTAGCTATAGTTGAAGTAAAGATAAAAATATCTGTTATATTTGGAGTAAGGCAATCAATATCTTATTGTATTTTGAATAAAAAAACTTATTTTGTAATATCATTACAATTGTCTTTTATTAATATAAATGATTTGAAATAATATTTGATAATAATAGCCAAAGTAAAAATAATTATCCAGTGATTTGTGTGTTACTGTTAATTTTTGAAATTCCTCGATCACTAAAAAATAAAAAAACATTGAAATGTTGTGAAAAATTAAAAGACAAAGAAATATGCTATTTATATTTTTTCCTCTATTTTTTAAATTAATATGCAAAAATTAGTTTATTCTCACATGATGATGATTAGTATATATAAAAACATTTGACGCACACACACACACATATATAGACACACACATGCAGACACACACATACAGACACACACATACGGACACACACATACAGACACACACATGCAGACACACACAT